GTAGTAAATCCTGTCAATCACATTGAGCTGGAAGGCATTACAACTCATTCTTAAGTATGTTGTGAGAGATTTTTCTGAACTGTGAGAATAATGTGAGAAATGTAATCCTTTTATATTGAATGGCATACTAATACCAGATTGGTAGGTTGCTGACCACCACATCTAACACTTTGTTCCCATCTCTTTTCATCAAAAACAGCCAGTCTCAAAAACTTTTGATGCAGAGTTTTTCAACTATATTTAAAGCTGCACTTATCTTTATAATAAATCACTATAATGTGAAAAAAGTTGCATATTTTGATGAAACTACAGAGAATTATCACCCAACTCTACAGTTCTCCTCAGCTCTATGTGTCATCTTTTATTTTATTCTTTGGTTTTCATCAGTCTTGTTTCTGGAACGGCTAACAGCTAGCAGCTAGCAAAACCATAGGCAATTTCTCAGGACAGAGACATGACTGTAAATGAATGCTAATGCTAATATATATAAATAGGCAATTACATGCCAACATGATCACCATAACAACTCTGTAAGGTTATAATATACACTGTGTTTTCAGCTTGCTCCGCTGGAACCATAATTATAAGTATTTCAATTTTTATGATTTCTTCATTTTTAAATGTCCAATTATAACCTCTGTTTTTTTTTAGATCCAACCAAATTCTTTAAATTATAATTTTTCTTTCTATAAATCCACTTTTTAATGACAACCTATATCTGTATTGAACAGTGCTCTTGTTTTCTCCACACTCTCTTTTGAGTGACTTGAGACGCGAAGCATCTGTGTGATGTTATTTATCTTCGCTGTCACCCGTCTGAGGACATGCCGTCACCCTCTATAAAAGTCAAAGCCTACTCTGAAATAGCAGCACCCCACTCCTTATTTACTCCCCTGTAACTATTCTTAAGTCTTGTGGACCAGCTTGGCTTACTGATGCACCTGACTTGAATAGCAGTGAATGCTAGCAATGCCCAGCATGTTAGCAATTCCTTTGTTAATGGCTTCCTTTAGCACAGTGGATCTAGGTATAAAGAGGAGTCTGTTACAGATTATTTCGTCTAGTATCTGGATCCGTTTTACTGTCGGATGTTGTTGTTTGTGGGACTGATGACTTTAACTTGAAGTGTCTCGCCTTGTTGTATTCCCACGCACCTTGTTGCTTTCGCATGCCATAGGTAACACGCTACACATTGAGGCAGCATGAGGTAATGAGGACGACAAGGTTAAGGATCCTAAGCTAAGGTCAGAGGTCGACATTTTCAGCGGGTGTCATCTAAACAGGCCGTGGCCACCGTAGTCCGTAATAGTATAACGGGAAAGCGAGTGGAGGTCAATGTCTCTGAAGAGCCCCAACGATCCCTGTAAATCTTGTAAAGCTGGTATGTAAACAACTTTAATCACCATTTGAGCCATTTGTTTATGTATTAACAGGTGCAATGGCTGACATCTGAGAGTCAATCAGTACTGGTGTTTGATCACTAGCTGTTTCTAACACTGAGTCTTCATTCACATCTGCTAATTGCTTGGATATCACAAGTAAAACCTAAAGAACTCTTGAGCTTTTAAAAATGTATTTAGCTGAAATGAAAGATACACTTCCATAAATTTACATCTCCTCTCATCCTTCGCCTAGGTGAAAATAAAAGTGGGGTAACGTCATATACTGCCTTCTCTACTGGTGCCATCATGCTCTTTTTTTCCTCATGGGAGTAGAAGGAGGAGCTCTAAGCAACGATGATCAATACCTTTAGACCTGTTGGAGGTGATCACCATGCCACAGTTCACACTGGATCTTTAAAACTTTTATATTCTGTAATTTGCTCAGAAAAAAACAACACATCTACTTTCCTGGTGGTTTTTTTTTTATCATAAGATACATCACTGCAGTACAAAGTCTCCTTTGATCTTCTGATCTTGAATCAGTTTCACCACAGATTATGGGGGCTTGGTATGAACACAACCTTTGTGTCATGACATTGCCATTCCCAGTTCTTGCTGAATTTGGAGAATTCATACCCTCTTGGTTACCTAACGTGTAGTGTGTGTGTGTGTGTGTGTGTGTGTGTGTGTGTGTGTGTGTGTGTGTGAGACCATAAGAAGTAGTAGGTTACTTCTCTCCAGTATATGCTATATGGTCCTGTGGACTGATCACCCTTGAGACACCTGTGGTGGAAAGCTGAGCGGGGAGATGCCTGAATGACAGACAGAGAGGCAGCGTGGAGGGTGCTCGGACTTAAAATTTAACAAATAGTTAAGGATGAGAAGCCTGAAAGCTAAAAGATGACTTATAAACAAAAAATATATACATAATATATACAGTCACATGTTTCAGCATGGAAAAACATTTTCTCAATGTTTTGACAGCTTTGGTTCATGCTGTACAAAATTTTGAATAGAATATTGAATATTACATTTGAATTGAATGTGCTCCAGTTCACACAAAAACATTTCCACTTTCCATTATCAAACCAGGCAGCTATCTTGGTTTGTATTTATCCACTTTTTAAGATACTCATCCTCAAGAACTCTTTCATCACTCACCCCCATATAACAGAGGTTAATGGAATTTCATTTGTGTTGCTCTAAACTGCATGACATTGGAAAAGCTCAATAACAAGTGTTGCAGCTGACATCCTGAGACACAGATGTTGAGTTTTTAAAGCAAAAATCTTAAGAACTGACCAATGAAAACCAAAATTATTTGCACGTCTACGTCCCACCAGAGGACAGAAGTTATATTTTCTCTGATCTGGGAGAATGGACTCTTTAACCACCGTCCTTGTTCTGTGCAAAAATATAGTTACATATGAGGCTTCAGCAATAAGTGTATCAGCTAGATCTTCTCGTTTTACAGTATTTTTGGCACACAATTTTCATTTTGTGTTTTCCCTTAATGTGTTTCCTTACTGAACTATGAAAAAAAAGACTCAGGGCTGTGGAGTTTGTCCCCCATCACTTACATTAGGTGCACACTGGGAAGGAATCTTAGACTGGTATGAACAGGAGAAATGATTACAGCAATCACAAACAGTTTCAACAAACATGACACTGAATTGTATTAAAACAGACTTCAAAATTGTGAACTTATCCTTTAACAAATCAAGAAAATATATCCGAATAGGTTATGATTCTCCAGATAATCACAGATTCTCAAGTTAACACACACGCATGCACACACATCAGTCATGACCAGGACAGTGACGGCAACAGCATCTCCCACTGACACACCTCCTGAACTCCCACTCTCTCTTTGATTCAGGATGTTTTCTCTGACGTCAGTTCGCTGCAAAAGCTCTTTTTTGGGAGGCAGACTCATTAAAACAATGTTAATTCTTGAGTAAGGTGCCTATGTAACCAGGGAGACTCTCTAATGGTCAATGAGCGTCATAAATCCATCTAAATGTTGGCACTATTGTTGTGAGACGGGCTGGAAGTCGGACAAAAAAGGTCACATTAGATGTGGACTAATGGATCTGGCCAGTCCATGGAAACATGGAAAAAATAAAAGAGAGGCATGCAAAATTGAAAATGTGGAGGGAAGTTCTGTGCTAAAAATAAAGTGCTTGGGGAAAAAAGTGCAGTTTAGGGCTGGGAAACAGTTTTTTTAATATATATATATATATAACCCTTTCAGTAAAAGAGCAGTATGTGAAATAGAAACATTGTAATGACACATAGAAATATAATGTATGACATGTATGTCCCTCTCAAGAGTGATGTTGCCATATATGTCACATAAGGGGATATATTATTATCACATATACGTATACATCCTCTGGATATATGAAGACATAAGTTTATAACATATATTAAATACCCATAGTGCTTCATATAATTTGTATATGTAGGCTACATATATTAAAAATATCTATGATTCATTTTTATGTGGTATATTGTGAGCCTACATGTTGACAGTATATATTCAATAATATATGTACATTTATTAAAACAACATACTTAAAAAATGTTTCTGCTTATATATGGTTCTCTTATTAATTTCTTATTAATATTAATTCTTATCTTTCCATTCTGGGAAATTGGTCTCAGACTTTTAGACCCCACTATATATGATATCAACATATACTGACAGGCATTGGGAAGGATATATATTCATAGTCAATAAATTATGTTGTTCCAATTTTTTATAGGTTTCATATATAATTTTTAAAGACCCTATGTTTTTATTTTACATATACATATATGACATATATTATATTACATGTATAGGTGAATACAGACATTCCTAAGGTTTGAATCCTGGTGCATGTGTGTGTTTGTGCATGTAAGGTGGGCGTGAGGATAGTTGGGTTCAACATGCAATACCATTCATTACCAGCCATAGTGGTCCAACCAATGAGTAGCCCACTGAGTACTCGTGTAATAATGCAGTAATGACCACTGAGCACTCATGGGTCGAAATGTCAACATGTTGACGGGCGTCGCGGCTGGTGTGACCTCATCGCAAGATGGTCTCCTCTAGTTTGGTGTGGCATGACAGCGGTGAAAGCCTGAAGCTCACAGGAGGTGTTGCCATTCCTGTGCTCGCCCCCTCCAGGAGCTTGGAGGTGTGACATCAGCAGCAATAATGAAGGCGGCTCATCAATGGCTGGGCCCAGGGGCTATAAAAGGAAGTCGGGGAGTCCGGTGGTTATCGTAACTGATGGGGGCTGACCACCAAACGACACTGACTTCAGTTTATAGTCCTACCACTTACGAAACTTTTACTTTTATCAGACTGAGAAGCCACCAGCAGAGGTATGTTCAGTATGGTCTGTCTTTAGATATGGAGGATGGAAATTTCAACTTCAACAACAAGTTTTGGCTATTTCTTCATTGAGTTTCGTTAGATTGTGCATCAGTTTTTAGGCTGATTTGTGATATACTACAAATTGAATTGATTTTTGTCATGTGCAATAACCTTCTCACTTATATTAAAATTTAGTTATTTAAATTATTTCCCTTTTTTCATATTTATTCTAACAGGTCATCAAGGTCAACATGCGGAATAGGGACTATAAATTCGTATTCATGTCACTCTGCATTTTACACCTCTCCACTCTCTGTGAAGGACGTCCCATGAGGTAATTTCACCTCCTATCTCCTCTTTCAGATCAATTAAGATCACCTAAACTACAAGGTCATTACCTCATTCATATCTTTAATTAACGCTCCTTCTTATCATCGCAGCCTGTTTTTGCACAGGTAATTAATGTAGCCTATATATCTCATAATCCTGAGTACAGAAAGAGGACGGTGAGTGAGGTCCAGCTCATGCACAACGTCGGGGAGCACAAGCAGGTGCAGGAGCGCCAGGAGTGGCTGCAGATGAGGCTCCGGGACATCCACACCGCCGCGGCCCGGGGCAGCAGCAGGGAGGTGGGCCGGACGAGGAGGAGGCTGCGTCCCGAAGATCTACCGGACTTGACACCAGAGGAGATTCAGTACGCTTTGGACTTCTTGGAAAAGCTCCTCAAGTCAAAGCAGTCATGAGTTTAGTTGATTATGTTTGACTTGCAGCAACATTTACAACATTCTTTTTTTTTTACAGAATTTCAGGCTACTTACTATTTTTCTACCTAATTTGAAACGTTTCTGGATGTCTGAACGCGTCCTTATTTTATTAGACTGCACTTTTATTTTATTTATTGAGCATTTTCACATTATTTATTGCATTTTATGAACTTGATATTTATGAACCTGAGAAGAGAAGAGAAACTGTGCCCTGACGAGGCAAAGCTTCCCTGTTGTGAATGCACTTTTGTTTGACAGGTGGTGTTGTAAACCACTCCCATAGCTACTTAGTCCACTTCGACAAACTGAAGGAGATAAAGAGTTGGACCAACATTGTTGTTTATGATTTTACAATGCTCTCATTAATGGGCAGACATTTAAATCAGTTTCATCTGGTTTAAATAGGTTATTTGAATTTTGTCTGTATGATTACATTGCAGACCTACTCGCAATGCTAATTATTTTAACTTGGATTTTGACCGTGAAACGTCCAAAGGGATATTTAAGGTTAGGCTGTAAACTGCTAAATTACAGATATAAACTGTAGCCTGTATTTTTATATTAGGCCTATGTATATGAAATATGGCATTTTATTTTTATAGGCCTAATTATGCTAGGCGTGTGTAATATGAATGAATAAAAAATTAATTAATGAATTGCTTGCAGGGTTGTTGTTTTCATTGGTTATTTATGCCTTCAGAAACAAACAGATAGCCATGTGTGGGCGTGCGTGCGTGCATGCACGCGGGGGAGGTCCCCTTGGAATGTGCTATTGTATCGCGATATCTTTCACGTGATCTCCGCTATCTCAGACCAAAACAAAAAAGAACCTACAGACAAATGCAGTTCATGTAAGCTAGGAGTTTCTACGAAAACTCTTGTCCTTTGGTCTTCGGTTGATTTCACAGCGGTCTGTTTCAGCAACCGGACAAAACGTCACATCGGAATGTAACGCAAGGAGGTAACGTTGTTTTAAACTCTGGTTCATACAGCCAGCTAGCTGACGTTAGCCGACTAACTGCTGGCGATGTGTTTAGCTTAGCGGTTAAAGCTAAATAAACAGGCTGACCAAAAAGTCCAAAATCCTCTTAGCCGCTCTAAAGTCTTTGTAAAGCAATATGTCAAGTGACTTTTCGCTTTTTACATCGTTGGTAAGTTCATACACAGTCACATTTTAAAAGCGAGAACAGCAGCATTGGATCTTATTCGGTAACTGAATAGTATCAGAATTCAAAATTGATGTTGATTGACAGAATAAAAGTGTCAGAATATTTATTTCAGTGCTCTCTGTTCATCAACGGTAAAACGTGTAGGTTGAAAGGGTAGCAGCAGTCATTATTGCGAGACCAACTGTTACTTATCTCCAGCTAATGTAGTCATAGTTGGTGTAGCATGAGGGTGTGGAAGTCTGTAGAGGACTATATTAAGAAGCTATTGTAAACCTGAAAATGTAATTTTACAATAGGATATGTACATTTATTTGAGTATAAATTAAAATGCAACAATCCAATTAGCATTTTCATGTTCATATACTCACATGGGTGTTCTATGACCCTATCAAAAGATCATTTTAGAAATGAAAATAGAAAAACTTTTTGACATTTGATTTTACAAGTTCTAACGTTCTCTATGGTGGACAATATTAAAATGTTAACTCAGTTTTGAAAATTAAAATGCTGTGCAACTACAATTGAGTCAAGTATATCTTGCAGCTTGACTATTAGTACAGCTTAAATTAATGAAAACATTTTACCCAAAATCTCCAAATACCACACTTATTTGCCTCCAGACGTGGTGTTTTACTTTCAAATCATGGTAACATTTACAGTTATTATAATGGTTTTTGTAATCGCCAATATGCCAGCAATTTTCACTGTGATAGTTTATATATGAATGGATAGATGGATGGATGTTTGATGTGTAACTTTAATTTAGTACCAAAATTCACCAGATTCATTCAGAAGGTGGGTTGAAATCATTGCAAATGAATCAATCTGGATTTCGTTTGATAATACACTGTCATATTATAGAAAAACCCCCTACAGTCCTTGTTGTCCAGTGGTAAGATGATAAAAAATAATCCCAAAGTAACCTATTGATCATTCCATGTGGATCATGTAATGTTCAAGGATTTAGGAGTTGGAAAAAAAAGGCTGATCTTCCTATGGATGGTGAAACTGAATACACTTGATATTAACAAGTGAGGTTATTGCGTCCGTCTGCTAGGAACTTTTAATGTACCCTAAGTCATTACAGAATGTAGTCTCATCAGTTTATGACAGCATGATATATTCAGCTATATGCCTTAGCCTGGTAGACTGAACTTACTATATTATATCTTGTAGGAGTCCCCTGGTGTCACAAAGGTGAAATTGCCTTTACAGCCCCTCTTGCAGGTCACAGTTCAGAATCAACCAGAGCCCCTAAAAGTGATAGATGATACAATTTTCCTTATGACTAAGTTATGTTATAATATGACATGTTGATGGCTTGTTAAATTTTGCACTTGCTGTGCTGATGTTGAAGGAGCAGAAGAGATGAGGGGGAACGTTTGATAAGTCAGTGATATTTCGTTAGGCCTGTGTTTCTACATCGACTTTTAATGCGTCTTTGATTAGTAGATATAGCGCTCAGCATGTTTTAATCTCCTGCATCCAGCTAAAGCAGGCTTGTGGAACAAATTTTCCTGTATAATAGTCTGCTTGATGCTGCCTTCAAATGACGTAGATATTGCAATAACTGGGCCAGTGTGGTCCTATGTGAAAAAACACATGTAATGATACTACTGGAAAAAGGGGGATTTCTGTGCAATATTTGGTTGTGCACGGATACACACACTGAAAAATCGAACAATCAATACATAAATATGAATCCAATACGATGTACCCTATGGCGTCTAGTCAGACTAACCATTGTTTGTTTCAGTGTGTTGAGAATATTTAAAAAGGTTCCTTCAATTAGTGGAAAACGACGTTTTAGTAGAGAACGGTGATTCCTACATTATTCATTATTTCCATAACATGTGACATTTGGGAGTCCTGGTTTAAATGACAGTAAGTGGACGATGTACGTAGATGTTATTATTAACGACCAGCCACCATTAAAATACAAGTGCACTCAGAAGAGAACTCAGAAGTGGGAGCTTACGAGGAGCAAGTGAAGGCAGCATCGCTCTGATTCAGTCAAGCACGCGGCCATTCACAGTTTAAGGTCCCTCCGGTGACTCTGAATGACTAGCCGGTGCGCGCCTCCCTCGCCTTGTAGTCACATTTAAAGCTTTGGGTTGAAGCGGTGGATTTTTTTTCCAGCAGCGGCTTAAAGTCCGGGGTTGAGTTGCGTGAAACGATGCTGATGAAGTTGGAAAGTAATGAGCGAGGATGCTGAAGCTGCCGGCAAGCCCGCTTTGTTCGGAGGAGCGCAAGGCTTTTGTGCCGCCGTCATCCCGCAGCTCATCCCCTGCTGCTTTGTCTTCACTTGGCCCTCTGACACCGACCGGTAGGTGCACGTCCGCTTTCAAAGCACCGAGGCTTTAGCTCTGTCATTGTGTTACATTTACACACTTTTAATGTACGCCTCTTGGTATGATTTACTGTAATGTAAGGAATAAGAATAGTGCCCCAGAAAGAAAATCACAGACTCTATTATTCATGCTGGGACTCAGTCAGACTCTCTGGTACTGAACAGAGTGATCTTGTGAAATCAAATCATGATCTTTTATCAGAAATTACCAAAATATTCTCAAATTATATTTTCTTCTGATTTATATAATTTCTTTGGAGTAAGGAGGCTATTCATAGTACTGTTATAAAGGAGTATTTCCCTACTTATATGTGGCATATATCTAAATATCCTACACAGAGCCACTTCCCAGCCTTTGCCCATCTGTGTGTGTTGGTGTCAGCAGCCCCTAAATAATAGATGGGACCCTCACCCCTTGGGGCTCTCACCTCATGCTTTTAATAGACTGCCTAGACGCCTTGAATCTTTATTGTGCCTTAGATGGGCTGTAGAACTTCTCTTGTATTTAACACATTAAACCTCCGTCCAGAGCTTCTGTAAGCACTATAGGCCATTGACCTATTCAGCAAAGGAAAAGGGAAATTGAGGTATCAGGAGGGTGGCACCCAGTAACAGGAAATTGGACAAGTGAAATGTTAGCCCCCTCTAGTTTCTCTCTGGCTGCGTGAAATCTTCGCTGCTGTAGCTTTGCATTGCCATGTGAAAGATGAGAGGAGCTGCCTGCTGTGAGTGAAATATTGCCTCCTCAGCTCCTTTGTTCTTTCTACCCTGCAGCTCTGGCCACTGGCTGCCTGCCTGTTTGGCTGGAAGACCCGCTTTTGTTTTTATGATCCCATTAATGCCAAACATAAAAATATTAATATCCCATTAGACATAAAACATGCATTTGTGCTGCGTCGGACACTAGTGTCAATACACACAGCACAAAATATCAGTCATTTCTTGCTAGGTCACTTCAGTGTGGCGGTTTGAAGAAGGAGACCTAATTGTTCATGACAGTATTCTCATCAGTATAATGTTTAACCTTTGTATAATGAATAATAGACCTGAATAATGGTCTTTGCCTTTTTATGAATAGTCTTGAATTCTGTTTTTCACACTTTGACTGATAAGTAGTGTCTGTAATATCGCCTGAGGGAGGTCTTCCTCTGTCCATGTCAGTCAGTTCACCTGAACACACTGAACCAGAGGGAGAGGTGTGTGTGTGTGTGTGTGTGTGTGTGTGTGTGTGTATGCGCATCTTTGTGTGCACATTTCTTCCTTTCCTCAGCTGCTGTGGTGACCCTTGTCTTGTGTTCAAGGACATTGCCAGACTGTGCAGCTATATTGTTGTAAACAGAAAAAGGGTCTTGGTTTACTCTGTGATTTCTGCAATGTTAATCTTTTGTAAAGAATTTGAAATTTAAAAGTTAACTAGCACCCTATGCAATGGTTTTTCTTTACATTTTTAATTTTGGCATTATTAAACCCTATATTTAAATCTTTAGTGTCCATGTAGGATTGTGTACGTGGTTGAGTCTCTGGCATCGCAAGACTGATGGGGCACCATCAAACAAAAATGAATCTGTGACCTTGACTGGGTGTAGTGCAGCTGTTAGTGGGAATTAAAGGTGATGTGCAGTCGTCACACTGCATCGTTTATCGTTTTTTTGTCATCAGTTCACTGGCCTTGCTACAGCTTGGTCCCTTCTGTCTGGGGCTGCCCACCCAGACATTTCACCAATTAGCCCCTCAATCAGTCCGTTAGTTGGCCGGCCGGCCAGTCCTCACATCAGCAGCTGCCCGGCCATCCAGCACGCTGACATGTCAGTCAGTATCCAGGGAGGCATCTCTCATTACCAGCGTCTGGAGCTCTGCCAGAACATACATTGTCTATTAACTGGACATGGTGCATGGAAACAAAAATATTAAGTAATTCATTAACAAACAGCACACCCTGCACCTGATTTGTTTTATTTTTCATAATAAGAGTATATAACAACCACATGCAAAACCTGCCTCAACGAGCCAGGTCATGGCTTTATGTGTTAGTGGTTTATTTATGTGTTTCCAGTTGTGTGCTGTGCGGAGTAGGAGGCAGTACTCTGGCCCTTTTTATACGTCACTAACTCCATTTTTATAAAATAATAAAAATAAGTCCATCTCTCTCGGTCCCTCCGCCCCTACCTGCTCCCATTTTCCATCTCACTGATGCCATAGCCTACAGTAGAGAGTCATCATCATATTTCATAGCAGCCCCTCTCAAGAGAGCAAGGCTCTCTTCATTAGTGAGACCTGGAAGTGTTTTGGCCTTACAAGCTCAACGCTATTGATCAGATGGGCGGCTGCACTGTCACAGTGGAAGTGAAATGGATGCATTCATCAACAAAACTGCAGGAATGTAATCTATCATAACAGAATAATAATGCAATTAGAAATAGTTCGCTACCATTCTTTTTCTTTAAGATTAGTTGAGAAAATAATCATCAGATTCATTATCACTGAAAATAATTGTTTCAGCCCAACTATAAATGTCCAAATGGGACATTAAAACACAGACCTATAAATACTTCTATTGCACTCCCTCCCATCTTAATCTATTCTTGTGTCTAGATCTTTATATATTTACCATTGCATTTATTTTGAAAGTCCATTCATAAGTGTAATATATGGCTGTCGAACACAGTAGGATTACATACAATGCTTATCGACTTATGTATTATATAATTCCAACTTTTTAGGCAATATTTTACTATGTACAAAAAAATGAAGACCTAAAAACCACACTGTCAAAAGAATCAAACTCATTGACATGTTCATTAATGCATGCATGAGTATGTGTTTGTGTGTTAAAATCCTCTCTGAAATGGAGGGCAGATATTGTAACAGCTCTCTTAGGGCTGCTTGTCTGTCTCTGGAAAAACACTCTGAGAACCACTCGAGGAAGCATCGCTCGCTCGGAGGCAAGGTTGATGGGGTTGTTACCTATCAGTCAAAAATCTCTGAGAAAACAGCCTGCAAAGCAAGTAAACAGCTGAGGCCATTTCTGTTTGTTGTACTTTACCTAAGTGAGTTCAGCTCGCTCTGATTGTTTCACTTGGATACACTCTCTAATGGATACTCGAGGTGGCGTGTTTCTGTAGCTGCAAGCTGACGTTGGTGGTTTGTTGCCGGTCCTGTTTCTGCAGCACTCAGCCCCTGTAAGGGTTCACATGAGTTGACTGCAGAATTTTTTACAGGCTCTCCTCTCGTTCCACAGCTCAGCACGCAAAACATAAACCCTTTACCCCCTGAGCAATTTCTGCACAGGAGCGTGTGTGAGTGTGCCTAGAGAGAGTCGAGTCTGTGCACCGAGTAATCTATCTACTTGTTCCATGAAATCATGCATCAGTGCTCTTTGGTTTCTGTGTGATTAGTAATGTGATCCCACTTGAACTTGAAGTTGTGACCAAGTGAAACTTGTGTGACAGTTTGGAATTCAGTCTTACTGTGATGCTGCTGCAACGGATAAAAACGTGCCAGAATATGTTTCCATGTGTTGAATTATCTGTTTACGTCAGTCTGTCAAGGCACGATCCGCTGGGAGTTAGTCTGATAGTTTTGAAATGATTTTCTCCTCCATGTCCAGCTGTAGTTTCTCGATGTCAGCTAGGGTCAAGGAGGTCCCACTATCTCCAACGCCAGGTGGAGAGCATTAGATTGTTGCAAATCCTCATCCTGACTATTTCCATTGTTGTGTTCATCTGGGATTTTAACTCTGTGTATTTTATCATCTCAAATGACCAGTTGAACAAATATGTGAAAGATATCTCCAGATTTGATATCTCCGTGCCGCCTTGTTAAAGCATCATCTGTGTCTTCAAATGCTCAGCTCGCCTCCTACAAAGTAGCCACACACTATAGCTGAGGAATTAATTTTCCTTCTACTATTAATACGGTTTAAACTATGATTGATGAAGCAACAGCCGTCAAACTAAAGGCTATCCCACTGTCAAACAGCAGATACATGGATCGACTGACGGTAACAAAGTGTTTACTGATGACATACGTCAGATTCATCGATGCCGAGGATTTGAGGGAGGATTTGCTTTTCTGCAAACGTGTAACTAACAGAGCAGCTGCTGAAAAAATGTCATTGACACTTGGTTGAAATATGCGGATCTGAAGTGGGAGGACTGTCTGTGTGGGGATTTGCACTGACGGGGCTCAGGCAGGGGCTGGGAAAAGATTCCCCCCTATATGCAGTAGGCACACTGTATGACACATATAGAGAGGCGTTAGCGTCTAAACAGCTGAGTACAGGGCTGAACGATGTGATGCCAGACATCATTGCCACAGTAAAATACATCAAAACAAGATCTATCACAGCCCAGGTTTTTTTTCTACACTGTGCGAGGAAATTGGATCCAATCTCACAGCTGTTTTGTTTCACAGTCCTGAGTCCTGATGGCTGTCACATGGGATGGTTTTATCCAGGGTGTTTGAATAGTGGGATGAGTTCAGACTGTTCTTGAAGGAAAAGGGAAATAAGTTTAACAATAACAATTTCCTCATGAAACTTGCATACCGCAGTGATGTGTTTAGGACCAACACACTATGTGACGATGTGGGAGCAGCGAGTGAAAAAGGGGAATATAGAATCGCTAGAGAGCATGAAATCATTGATCAAGGGCGACAAGCTGCAGGACACGGTGATCCCATTTATGAAAACTCATATCTCTCCCTTCCAAAAACATTTCAGGAGGCATTTCCCGTTGCCACAATTCTGCAAAATACAACTGGATCCGTGAACTATTGAGCGCAACACCAGCTGCTGACTTCAGCACTGCAGAAGAGGAACAGCTCATTGATGTCACCTCTGATTCAACAATGAGGCTGCAGTTTAAGTCCAATACATGGGCTGCATTTTGGATTGAGGTGGAAAGGGACTACACACAGCTAGGCAAGAAGAGCCCTGGTCACACTTTTCTGCAGTCACCTCAATCTCTTGCCATCTTTGTGCAGCGGCAGTTTTGGGAAAATCTGTTGAAAGCAGACGCCCGCTGCAGTGTCACTTTTAATTGCTTCCACTCAAAAAGTTCCTTATTTAGTTTTTAAAAGTAGCTTTTAGTTTTAACACAGACATAATAGTATTTACCACAATATTCAGCATGAACGCTGTGTAGTCTGACTTTGAGTTCAGCAGCTGTTCAGGAAAAATGAAAGATATGCTCATAACTCTAAATTTCCCCTGTGTGTGTGCTCTCTCATCTCCATCAGTGACCGTCAGTGTGGTTTGTCAGTGTTGGACTGCGACCACCAGCAGCAGGAGCAGCAGCAGCAGCAGGTCAGCACCATGAGTCTGTACGGGTCCAGTGCCAGTGGTGGTGGTGCTGTCGGCGGTGCGAGAGAAAGAGGAGGAGCAGAACATTACCGGGAACAACGCCGGCGCTCCAGCGACCGCTCACGTGACTCCTCCCATGAGAGAGGAGAGAGCCAGCTGACGCCTTGCATCAGGAATGTTACTTCTCCCACTCGGCAGCACGGTGAGGAGAAAAGCATAAAGGATTTATTATTAGAGAGAGTTTAGTTGTCCCACTTTTGTTACTGTCTCCACCCACTAATAATGTGTGTATAAATGTTTGTCCTGAAGCTTTCTTTTTGATCTTCATGTATCCTCCTCTCCCTCTGTGAACCAGACCGTGAACGCGGTGATGGAGGCTCGTCCTCCAGATCCTCCAGTCCACGTCCTCCCAGGGTCTCTCTTCCCTACGCCCACATTGGAGGCACGCTGATTGGAGGACATATACCTCGGCCCCTGGGTCTTCCTGGAGTTGACCACCACCCCAAGAACCTGGGCCAAGGACCGTGCGACATGATCTACGTGTACGACCTCAGCAGTAAAGAAGGGCACCGCAGCGGACTGAGACTGGCAGAGAGAGTGACGCTTATTGTGGACAATACAAGATTTGTGGTGGATCCTGCCATCTTCACAGCTCAACCTAACACCATGCTGGGCAGGTAATGACTGAGAGATAGATTTACTGGACGTACAAGTAACTTTTGTACAATTTTTATTCACTTCCTCTTCATTAAAGTTTCTCTGATTCTGATTTTTAACGTCATATATCACTGTCACAAGTGAGAGTATTCAAAATTAAGACCACATTTCTCATAAAATATGTTGAATTATTTATTTAATGTTTATTTTTATTTAGTTCATGTTTATATTAACCTATATAACACTGTGGAGTAAGCAGATATATACAAAACACATATATAAAATACAAAGACATACAAAACAGCAGGAAACACAAGTGAGGAGTTCCACATATTGATCCCCCTCAAACAAAGAAAGACGTCTGTTTTTACAATAGGTCACCTGACAGTTCCCCATAGACCCAACATATCAGTGAGCACCTGAATCTAACATGAGATATTTTACTTCTGAAAGATGTTGAATACATTGTTGAAGCCTAGAAGAAAAGCAGGTTTCATAACGTTGCATGTTATGCTGCTATGGACAGTCAGTGCTGCAACAGCTGGGTAGAAACCTGGTAGTTCTAAGAAAGCATTTCTACTGGATGCATACAGATGAATGACAATGCTTGACACTGTTCCTTCAGCCCAACACTTTATTTACTAAGACGCTTAACGTTGGCTTTTCCTTTAATTTGTCACGTCTTTATGTAACAGTATCATTATTTCCTTTTTGGCTTTATTAAAGAGGAAAGAGGTAATTTGGATGTTTCCTATTTCCTGTTAAAGCTGGTGGCACACTCTTAACAATAAAACAGTAAACCAACAGATCAGTATTTGTATGTGATAAACATGTAAATGTGTGAGTTACTTATCAGTGATTTACTGATGCTTAAATAATACGCCTTTTATGATAGGTAAACCATAAAGATCCTTAAAGGTAATGGTGGTTTTGTTTTCCTTTCTTGTTTCTTTATTTTCAGCTCAGTGGTTTTGTTCATGTTCATTTTGAAACAGCACAGTTTTCTTCCCTGGTTGTCGGGGCGCATTGAGACCTGATCAGCTTCAGTGTCTCCAGTACCTTTTTAATGTCTCATTCCAGCTTTGAAGCTTAACACAAAACAGGCACAGTACAGCTACTGCTCTACATCACTGGTATTTTGAGTCTTCACAATCAGAAGTTAAAGAAACTCCTGTGTTTTTTTTTTTTGTGTTTGTTTTCAGGATGTTTGGTTCCGGCCGGGACAACAACTTCACAAGACCCAATGAAAAAGGAGAATTTGAGGTGGCTGACGGCATCAGCTCCACTGTGTTCAGAGCCATCTTGGTGAGAGAGCATCTGCACACTTCTCTCTGTATCACTGTATTTCTATCTTTCTCTCATTTTCTTGCTTCCTTTGCCTCAGTATGACTCTGTTTTTCCTCAGTCCCTTACTGCTTTTCCCTCTTCCTCTCTTACCTCACCCCATCTCTTTGTCTCTTTATTCTTTTACTTCCTTTCTTCTTCCCCCTTCTATGGGTTATTTTCCTGATCTTTTTATCCTCTATCCTTTTTGTGCCTCCTCTCTCTGGGGCCCAGTGAGTTCAAAACCTTTATGAAATATGCAGTAATGACAACTGTAATGATTTATTCACTGTCTAATTCTTCTACTGCCCGACACTCCCTTACAGCAGTTGCTGACAAGATTCAGCTCTCTCTTTATGTGGAAATCTTCCTGTTTGGAATCTGTCTTATGTTATGTTTGATTGATCATTTATCTATTTATTATTACCTGCTATATATTTCTTACTTCCTTATAGTCTAAAGGCTGAGGGAGAGCCGTGGCAAATTAATTTCATTACATTTGAAAGTACCACTGTACTTTCAAGATCGAAGAAATAAGGGGAGAAAGTGGGATGGAAGCGGGGGGAAAAAAAAGAAAAGGTTTTTAAATTTGTTCAGGTGTGTTGAGATCTTTTATTCTAAAAGGGTTTAGACTGTTAGTGTTAACCATAAAGAAGAAACACTGACAATCAAGCTACACTTTTTATTTCATTTTGTAAAATTAAGCACTTTATTATTTTTTTCTAGAGCTCTCTGTTATGTAGTTATTATTTATTACAGCTGTTATTTTCCTTGAAACAGTAAAAGAACATACACTTATTATTTGTTGTTATATAATATATTATTTGTTATCCCCGACCAACGCTCTGGACCTGTGCTTGAGGATATTTGTCTAAATGAACCTCTTTGAATTTAAATTGAATACCACTGCTATAGTCCCTTAACATAGTTGTCTGTGATGTTTTTCCATCTTTATTTTTCTTGTTTATTCCACAGTGATTTAAAACCTTCTTTTCTAAGGCAGTTGGACTTTCAGATGTGGTTGACCATATTTGACATTCTAGAGGTATTTCTGTGTGTGAACGGTCCCGTGTGTTCACAAGCAGGCGGATGTAGAACAAGTGCGACACCATTGTTCATTGCGTGAAATTGTGCCTGTGTAGCTTTGATAAATAGCTGTTGTTTTGTTCTTGTTGTTCCTTTATGGCTTTTGAGGCCACAGCTGCCAAATATGACTCAAGCACATGTGGTCTTTCAGTAAATGTGTGTAAGGATGATTCATGTAAAAGTCACCACTGTCTGAAATGACAAAACACTGTCCTTTAACAGACGGATAAAGCCAGCATTGTTAATGTATTCCCTGTCTGAAAAGGGCTTAGGCAGTGAAGTAAACGCCCCAGAAATAATATTAAAACATAAGTGAGTTACAAACAGCTTCGGTATTTGAGAAAACTGGTCCATTTAGTAGCTCTTCCGGAGCTTTCAACTGCCACAAATGAATGTCTGAACTCTCTACCTCAACTAAAGTGTTTGTTTACACATTAAAAGACATTTTAAATATGGTTGTACTTACAGAAATGTGTTATAGTGAACAGGTGCTTCTATCTTTTATGCTTTACGTTCTGTAGTTCGATTCCCAGTCACCTCAACATGACTTGGAGATGATTCAGTCAGATTCTTTATAGCTTGAGCTGAAATATCTTCGGCGTAAGAGCACAGTGACCTCTGTGAACATGCCTGTTTATTAATGCTGACGGCAAGTCGCAGCAGCATCATGTGATGTTCATAGGAAAAGCAGCACAGAGACGGTGTCACAAGTGGAAAAGCAACAACAGTCCTCCAGTGTGGATAAAATAGATTCCTCAAACCATTCTGTCGATATGAGGCCTCTGAAATGTTTCTGGCAAGTGCAAAACAATATCCGTTGTCCTCCGCTCTTCGTGAGGGCATTACTAAATGGCTAATAATTCCTTAATTGTGGTTGTGACATAATGGATTGTGGCATGATTGTGTTTGTCTCTTGGCATTAAACAAAACTCAAGGAGACAGGGAGGTGAGTGGAGCCAGAGCTTTCAGTCCTGTGTGCCCTGAGTCTCTGCTCCCATGTTTCCATCACAGCCTGTTGTGTTTGAGTGGAGGCTCTCATGGGAAACAGCCAGTGTGAGAGTCTCACATGACACAGGCTGCACAGAGACACAGAGAGGATGGAAAGTGGAGCAGGGAACGATCTTTCTCTCTCTTCTTCTTTTCCCTCTTGTCTGTGACGTTGCTAGATTTTACTTTCATCTCTGCTCGCTCTTCACCCCCCCCCCTCTTCTCCATCTCTCTCTCTCTCTCGCTCTCTCTCTCTCTCGCTCTCTCTCTCTCTCGCTCTCTCTCTCTCTCGCTCTCTCTCTCTCTCGCTCTCTCTCTCTCTCGCTCTCTCTCTCTCTCGCTCTCTCTCTCTCTCTCTCTCTCTCTCTCTCTCTGCGCCGCCTGTGTGAGTGGAGCTGAATCAATAATGGCGTCTTGTTTTTTCTCCCATGCTTGTGTGTGCATGTGAACACCCGCCATTCTCCCCATTTATCCATTTGTGTGTGTGTGCGCGCGCACATGTGTGTGTGTGTGTGTGTGTCTGCTGCTGCTGCTGAAAATGGCAGGATTACTACAAGTCGGGGATAATCCGCTGTCCTGATGGCGTTTCCATTCCCGAGCTGCGGGAGGCATGTGACTACCTCTGTATCTCCTTCAACTACAGCACCATCAAGTGCAGAGACCTCAGTGAGTATACCGTCCATACATGCTGCTCGTTTAGCCGTTGATCTACTGTCTGAACTGTGTAGAGCTGCAGACTCATATAGTTACTAGTTAGCACTTAGTTTGGTGTGTTTGGAGCACAGACTGGTTCCATTGTTGTTGTGTAACTGCATTAGAGAGGATCACAAATAGACTTTGCTTGTGGATGTCATTGCACATTTGATGGGTATAGACGGCTTCAAACTTATTTTCATGAAGAAAAAGCTTTAGTCTGTAAAGCATTGGAGGTGACATACATATCGTCATTTACATAAAATGTAAATTCTCAGTGAGAACTAAACGTAGACACAACCCATCACCTCTCTCATCATTGTAAACTGTTCTGATTGGCTCATTGTGAGAGTCTGACGTAGATGTTTTGTTTGCTTTAAATTTATATTTAATGCACCTGTGACATCTTGCCCTTACATGGAAATTGAGTCTGTCACTGTGATACATGCTACATGTGTATGCACTGGATATTTGTGTTGTTGTTGTCCATGTTGGTGCCTCTTGTTTGTGTCTCTGTGTGTGTGGGAGGTGGAGCCACAGCTCACAGGCTGCTGCTAGCTCTTGCTGTGTGTGTGTGTGTGTGTGTGTGTGTGTGTGTGTGTGTGTGTGTGTGTGTGTGTGTTGGGCTCTAAGTAGGTCATGATTAGCTGTGAAATGTGATGGTTGTTATGCATAAAGCCAACAAATGTGAGCAGGTTTCATTCTTGTATTGGCAGGATGTGGGTTTTTTTAAAAAAATCATTTTTAGTCATTTCTGCCTTTATGTGTCTAATTTAAATCAGTTCTGTTATGTATAATCCACAGTGTCCTCATGTGAACCATAGCTCTAGTTTTGTATTTTAAGTGTTTGCATTGAGGAGTTTATGACAACAGCATTTATTTCAAGTAAGCAGCTCTACAGAGGTAATATTTAAGTCATAACTGGTGCAGTGCTGCCTGTGTCTCGTGAGCTGTATAACCAGAACAGAACGAAAACCGGCCTGCTCACAAGAAGACGACATTGTACTGTAGTGGAGGTAAATTGGTTATTTTACCATCTACACTAAGGCTGCACAATTAATCGAAATATAATTGAAATCGCAGTATGGCTAAGTGCAACATCCAAATCACAGGAGCTGCATTTTTTTTTAAATAAAAGTGAACATTTTTGTGCATTGTCAGCACTATATGTGTTGTGGTGCTACAGAATATATATCATAGCATATAATCAGTATTAGGTTTGCTACTCACAAATTGTAGCATGGTATTCATTACTTCCTCAATGTCAATGCAACTAGTTTCAAGTTTGATAATCAAAAGACAGTAGCAATTTATTTGCTGCAGTTGAATCTTAGATTGTTTCCAAGGAAGGATTTAGTTCTACTGGCCAGTTGCAGGAAAAGTAAATGAGCAGATTATCATTTCCTCCCTCTGTCGTCATCCTCACTCATGTCTCCATGGTTTCTCCTCAGGCGCCCTGATGCACGAACTGTCTAATGACGGGGCACGGCGTCAGTTCGAGTGTTACCTGGAGGAGATGGTGCTGCCACTGATGGTGGCCAGCGCTCAGAGCGGAGAGAGGGAGTGTCATGTGGTGGTGCTGACCGACGATGACGTGGTGGACTGGGATGAAGAGTATCCTCCACAGATGGGAGAGGAGTACTCTCAGAGTAAGATTCTCTCACCATAATTGATACTGACTATACATTTTCTGATTAAACCAGTAGGTTGCAGGATGTTAGCCACATAGCAGTGTCAGAATAATCTGATGGAGGTCATGCTCCAGTTACCAGAAACTAAGTAAATATTCTTTCTTTTATGAACACAGGGTACTGTAGCATGAACAAATCCTTCAGCTGCTCCATGTGTCAATCTTGTACTTTCAAACCAGTTTGTCAGACATTTTCTGAAGTTGCTAAACTTGAACTTTTCTCTTCAGGCTATAGAGGTTCAAGTTATAGAAATGAACATTAAAAAAGTAAGCAAATCTACTACATGCTACCACTTTATGATATACAACCTGTAAGTAATGTTTAAAAGTCATCTACTAATGCTTTATTGAACCTGTGTGCCCCACCATTTTTTCCATGTTTTGTTGCTTAACCAACTAGCAGAGTTGATGTTGCTGGCTTTAGTAAATACATGGGAAAAGTTGTGGTCCTGATGGGTTCACATTTCTCAATGCTGAGGATACTGGTCAATTTTTTTGTATGGAAAGCCCTTTGAGCATTTATTCCATATTTCATCTATAACGTTGTAGTATTGTAAGGCATAACAAAAGGCATAGTATAGTAAAGCATTAAAATCATGGTACAGTAAGTCATAAAAATTTCATAGTATTGAAAGGCATAAAAAACACCATAGCATAGTAAGGTTTAAAAACGTCGTAGTGTAGTAAGGCATATAACTTCTATACTATGACGTTTTTATGCTTTACTATATTATGATGGTTTTTTGACTTTTTATGCCTTCCTATACCAAGACATAAAAAGTCATACTATACTGAGGCATTTTATGCCTTACTATACTATGGTGTTTTAATGCTTTATGTCATACTATAGTAAGGCAAAAAAAGTCATAAAAACGTGATAGTATACTAAGGTTTAGACATTTTATGCCTTATTATACCATGACATTTTTATGACTTTATGCCTTGCTATATTATGACATTTTTTTGACTTTTTGTGCCTTATTATACTGTGACTTTTTATGCCTTTTGTCATAGCATAGTAAGGCATCAAACGTCGTAGTAGATTAAGGCATAAAATGTCATAAAAGTATCACAGTATTGTATGACATTTTTTGTCTTTTTATGCCTTACTATACTATGACGTTTTTTTTGACATTTTTGTGCCTTACGTTTTTTATGCCTTAGCATACTGTGACGTTTCTATGACATTACATGCCTTATTATAATATGACATTTTATGCCTTACTGAAAACATATTATTTTATACAAAGGCTTAGACATTTTATGCCTTAATATCAGATGAGGTTTTTATGACTTTATAGCCTCATTATACCATGACATCTTTATGACTTTATGCCTTACTTTACAATGACGTTTTTATGACTTTTCATGCCTTTATTATACTATGACGTTTTATGCCTTACTGACATAAGGCATAACAACGTCATAGTAAAAATAACGTCATAATATACGAAGGCATAAAAAGTCATAAAGATTATACTATGACTTTTTATACCTCACTAAACTATGATGTTTTTTGACATTTTTGTGCCTTACCTTACTATGACATTTCTATGACATTTCATGCCTTATTGTAATATGAGTTTTTATGCCTTACTGAAAACATCATATTATACAAAGGCTTAGACATTTTATGCCTTAATATAAGATGAGTTTTCTATGACTTTTTACACCTTGATATACTATGGGCTTTTTATGCCTTTATGCGTTACTATACTATGATGTTTATTGACTGTTTATGCCTTACTATAGAAAGACATAAAAAGTCATACTATACTGAGGCATTTTATGCTTTATGTCATACTATAGTAATGCAAAAAAAGTCATAAAAACGTGATAGTATACTAAGGTTTAGACATTTTATGCCTTATTATACTATGATGTTTTTTGACATTTCAAGCCTTACTATAATGTGAGGATTTTTATGACTTTTTATGCCTTACTATGGTATTACATGAGGCATAATAAGTCATAAAAACTTCATAGTATACTATGACGTTTTTTCACATATTATGCCTTACTGTACTAAGAGATTTTTCTGACTTTTTATGCCTTACTAAAATATGACTTTTTTTGAAATTGTTATGCCTTATGTTTGTTGTGCCTTACTATACTATGACGTTTTTAAGACTTTTTATAACTCATTATTAGATAATATTTTTATGACTTTATGCCTCACTATACTATGAGTTTTTATGCCTTACTATAAACTATGAAGTTTTTATGACGCTTTATGCCTAACTATACTATGACGTTTTTTGGCTTTTTATGCCTGACTATAGAAAGGCATAAAAAGTCATACTATAGTAGGGCACAAAAAATGTCATAAAAACATCATACTATACTATGACGTTTTTTTAAGTTTTATGCCTGACTATAGAAAGGCATAAAAAGTCATACTATAGTAGGGCACAAAAAATGTCATAAAAACAACATAGTATACTATGACGTTTTTTCACATTTTATGCCTTACGTTTTTTTTGCCTTGCTATACTATGACGTATTTATGACTTTTCATGGCTTATTATACTATGACGTTTCATGCCTTACTGACATAAGGCATAACAACGTCATAGTAAAAAGAAAAATCCTCACATTATAGTAAGGCATAAAAAGTCAAAATAATGTCACAGTATACTATGACGTTTTTTGACATTTCATGCCTTACTATAATGTGAGGATTTTTATGATGTTTTATGCCTTACTATGGTATTACATGAGGCATAATGAGTCATAAAAACTTCATAGTATACTAAGGCATAAAATGTCATAAAAACATCATACTATACTATGATTATTTCACATATTATGCCTTACTATACTAAGAGTTTTTTCTGACTGTTTATGCCTTACTAAAATATGACTTTTTTTGAAATTGTTATGCCTTATGTTTTTTGTGCCTTACTATACTATGACGTTTTTATGACTTTTTATAACTCATTATTAGATAATATTTTTATGACTTTATGCCTCACTATACTATGAGTTTTTATGCCTTACTATAAACTATGAAGTTTTTATGACGCTTTATGCCTAACTATACTATGACGTTTTTTGGCTTTTTATGCCTGACTATAGAAAGGCATAAAAAGTCATACTATAGTAGGGCACAAAAAATGTCATAAAAACATCATACTATACTATGACGTTTTTTCACATTTTATGCCTAACTATACTATGACGTTTTTTTTCATTTTTATGTCCGACTATAGAAAGGCATAAAAAGTCATGCTATAGTAGGGCACAAAAAATGTCATAAAAAAAACATACTATACTATGACGTTTTTTCACATTTTATGCCTTACGTTTTTTTTGCCTTGCTATACTATGACGTTTTTATGACTTTTCATGGCTTATTATACTATGACGTTTCATACCTTTATGACATAAGGCATAACAACGTCATAGTAAAAAAAAAATCCTCACATTATAGTAAGGCATAAAAAGTCAAAATAATGTCACAGTATACTATGACGTTTTTTGACATTTCATGCCTTACTATAATGTGAGGATTTTTATGACGTTTTATGCCTTACTATGGTATTACATGAGGCATAATGAGTCATAAAAACTCCATAGTATACTAAGGCATAAAATGTCATAAAAACATCATACTATAATATGACGTTTTTTCACTTATTATGCCTTACTATACTAAGAGTTTTTTCTGACTTTTTATAACTTATTATTAGATAATATTTTTATGACTTTATGCCTCACTATACTATGAGTTTTTATGCCTTACTATAAACTATAAAGTTTTTATGACGCTTTATGCCTAATTATACTATGACGTTTTTTCACATTTTATGCCTAACTATACTCTGACGTTTTTTCACATTTTATGCCTAACTATACTATGACGTTTTTTTTAATTTTTATGCCTGACTATAGAAAGGCATAAAAACAACATACTATACTATGACGTTTTTTCACATTTTATGCCTTACGTTTTTTTTGCCTTGCTATACTATGACGTTTTTATGACTTTTCATGGCTTATTATACTATGACGTTTCATGCCTTACTGACATAAGGCATAACAACGTCATAGTAAAAAAGAAAATCCTCACATTATAGTAAGGCATAAAAAGTCAAAATAATGTCACAGTATACTATGACGTTTTTTGACATTTCAAGCCTTACTATAATGTTAGGATTTTTATGACTTTTTATGCCTTACTATGGTATTACATGAGGCATAATAAGTCATAAAAACTTCATAGTATACTATGACGTTTTTTTCACATATTATGCCTTACTGTACTAAGAGATTTTTCTGACTTTTTATGCCTTACTAAAATATGACTTTTTTTGAAATTGTTATGCCTTATGTTTTTTGTGCCTTACTATACTATGACGTTTTTAAGACATTTTATAACTCATTATTAGATAATATTTTTATGACTTTATGCCTCACTATACTATGAGTTTTTATGCCTTACTATAAACTATGAAGTTTTTATGACGCTTTATGCCTAACTATACTATGACGTTTTTTGGCTTTTTATGCCTGACTATAGAAAGGCATAAAAAGTCATACTATAGTAGGGCACAAAAAATGTCATAAAAACATCATACTATACTATGATTATTTCACATATTATGCCTTACTATACTAAGAGTTTTTTCTGACTGTTTATGCCTTACTAAAATATGACTTTTTTTGAAATTGTTATGCCTTATGTTTTTTGTGCCTTACTATACTATGACGTTTTTATGACTTTTTATAACTCATTATTAGATAATATTTTTATGACTTTATGCCTCACTATACTATGAGTTTTTATGCCTTACTATAAACTATGAAGTTTTTATGACGCTTTATGCCTAACTATACTATGACGTTTTTTGGCTTTTTATGCCTGACTATAGAAAGGCATAAAAAGTCATACTATAGTAGGGCACAAAAAATGTCATAAAAACAACATAGTATACTATGACGTTTTTTCACATTTTA